ACCCTAAGCCCTAAACCCTAACTCATTTCCAGCGGCACCCTGCCGAGGCGAAGTTGCTTGAAATTCAGGGGTACTTTTTCTGAGACAGCAAGTCTGACAAAGTTCCTACTATGTATATAAACAGCCAAGAAATACTAGAGTGTATAAATAAAGATCCCCGTGTGTGAAATTCCAGATGCCGCAAAGAGGTAGGGATTCTTATGGAGGAAGCAGAAAGGGGATCTTGGAGTGATCGGGAGCTGTATGCTGTCGGGCCGTGGTCGCATTGCACATCTCAGCAAACTCCCCAACCCAGATTTCATGCGCAATGCATTTGGGAGTTTCAGACAATTAGGGTGCTTTATTTTGGGGTCCTTATATTAGGGATCCCATTATTTGGGGTACTATATTAGGGTCCCCTATTTTCGGAAACCCCCATTTGAATGCCATGAGCGTAACACGCTATCAGCTTGGCCTACATGCGGCGACGTCCGGTACAAGAGCCTCAGTGTGTCCCGATGGCCCCGAATCCAGGAAGAGCTCGTAGTTTGAAGAAGTTAATGTCTCTGTACCTGTCCCGAGTGTGACGTGAAGGCCTTCTACCGCCCCGACGACCATTTCTTGCAGCCAAAGTCACTTGAGCTGCTTCAGAAGGGTTGTGTGCCAGGGATTAGTGTCCGAAACCCAGAACTCGCCTAGGCCCTAAACCAGAAGCCCGGAGATTGGCTGACGAGAGCATCTCTGCAAGCTGCGGTCCGACCTAGAGGTCCTAAAGAGACCAGAGACCACAGGCCGAAAGTGAAACCCTTCCCTGTCCTGATGCTTTCGGGCGACTTGGGACCTGTCCCTGCCATAAGATTTTTCCGTCCAGCTCAGTAACAGCGCACCCTAAACCCTAAACCCTAAACGCTACAGTGGACAGCCCTAAAAAAAGGCAGGCCCCTCGACCTGCCGGAACGGTTGAGTGCCCCAGAAAGCTCTTACAGTTCCGAGCAGGATCCGCTACTTCTATCCCCAACCTCCCAGGTACCCACTATATAGGGTGCTAGAGCCCCTAGGTTTAGGGTTTAGGGTTTAGGGGTTTAGGGGTTTAGGGGTTTAGGGCTTAGGGGGGCCCGATATAGTAGGCACTTGGGGGGTTAGGGTATTATCATTACGGTTTAGCATGGTTTTAAAAATAATCATGCAGATTACTAGTGCTACTTTTCTTAAAGGAGGTTTGAGGGCATCAGGGAGCCCCAGGTTTTCATGGGTAACCCCCCAAGTACCTACTATATAGGGCTCTAGGGGTTCTAGTACCCTATATAGTAGGTACCTGAAAGGTTGGGGGAAGTAAGGGGCTCGTCGGAATTGCGGCTCAGCGCATGGATTTCCAGCGGCCGTCCGAGTAGAAGGTGTTAAACCGAAACTTAGGTCCATCGCAACCTTCCGATTCCACCGGCCGAGATCGTTGCAGGACTCAGCGAGCAACTCGGGCGCGGTTCCGACTAATCGGGGCCAGTTTTGCGACTCGTTTCGGTGTCAAAAAACGAGTTTAGAGTTCGGGAATATGGCTTTCATTCCACCTCCAGTCGCAGTCGCACTTCAAGCCCCAAACCCAGCTAACAATCCCTACCCCTCATCTTTTAGGCACCCTCGCCCCAAGGAGTGATCCCGGAGATCCCAAAACTCTAAGCCGGAACAAGGGGCCTCGGAAGTCCACCGTGAGGGTCCGCAAGGAGCTCCCGTGATTGAGGAACAGACCTCAAGTGCTAACATATACGTGCGAGTATATATTATGCGTTTGTTTTTCCGTATTCTGATTTTACTTCCGATCCAATATGAAGGCGTCCTCAGGCTCTGCGGCAGACCCGTGACATGCTGGCCCCCTTGCACCAAGGCAATCTTCGATCTACCGCAGACCGAGCCGCACTTGGGGGTCTGAGTAGTTGGTTTATAATATCCCCTTATCGTCCCGTTATAGCTACAGCAGAATATCCCCCTTCACCAACAAAAAAGTAACTATTCCAGTTGGTAAGGCACCTCCCTACGTTTTGAAGCTGAGAAAGGTGTTCATGTGGAAAAACTCCGTTCCATTTCCTAATACAGGGGCCTTAGTAATTACCTGTACTCTTCTAGGGTGGGGTCCTTGTTATAATAATCTTATAGTGTTACCTATTCTTATTATCAAGGCCCCTACATTAGTTCAACCCTGAGATGGGGGTTTCGAAGCCTTGTTTCCACGCCGAAACTCGCGATAAACATTGAAGTCAAGTCTTAAGTCTCGGTGAATCAAAAGCATAACCGTAAACGTCTGCGCACTGCAGGGTCCTTGATGCAAGGGCTCCACCTGTTGCATAACTTGCATTAGGGTTCGGTGGGCTTTCTGGTTTTGGCCTAGACTTCTGAGATGATCCGAGGGTACATTCCGGGAACCTCCCGCACAGATGGTGAAGTTGCAACATTGCATCCGATTTGGTCACATAGCCTCAGAATCCCGCAGACTATCTCTTAGCATCGTACTGTAACCCCTCAGTTCAACTCAGTTCCTGTCTCTGCACAAAGATCAAGACAACCTCGATTTCGAGGTGTGGTGCGCGTGCATCGCGGAGGAGCTAAACGAGTATGCCTACGACGCAGTGCCTTTGCCTGCAGAAGCCGCGGTTCAGAGTTCTGCACTGCACTGTGCATTGCATATCAGGATCTGGAGCCTGGCAAGTCATATGGATCTCGTAAACCGGAGCCCAACCCTAAACTGTAAACCCGAAATCCGAATCCCGATTTCTTGATACAAGCCCTCCCCCTTGAGGACGGTTTCTTAAAGGGCTTTATGGTTAGGGACTCTAGACTCTAGAAGACATCTATAATATAGGGGCCTTATAATAACTACCTATACTATTTGGGGGATTCCTTATTATAACTATAGTACATTATCCCCCGCACCCTGTTTTGATAAGGCCCCTACATTAGTCAAGTCCGACCATGCTCCCTGCCAAATCATGCAGACCGGCAGGTAGCAGGCAACAGGCGCACAACTAGCCCACGGGGGGCCAAGTATCTTTGTAGTAGGCCCTTAGTAGATATCTGGCCCCCCCGCAAAAGTGTATACTATACTGTTTCTTAAGCCCTTTGAATTAGGCATCCTCAACCCATAAGCCCACAAATACAGCAAGGGCAAGGATCAGAGGGGTTTTCCCGGATCGTCCGATAAAACTCCGATAAGATTGGAACGATACAGAGAAGATTAGCATGGCCCCTGCGCAAGGATGACAGGCACAAATCGAGAAGTGTACCAAGTCGAAAACCCTACCCTACACCCTACAAGCCTTAACCCTAAACCGCTTAAACCCAGTACACCCTAGAATCCTAAACCCTAAACCCTACAAACCTTAACCCTAAACCGTAAAACCCTAAACCCTAAAATCCTAAACCCTAAACTCCTAAACCCGGATCGACTAGGACTGGCCTGGGACCTTCACGGGAGCTCAGCAGGGAAGGTTGTAAGCGGAACCGAAGCACGGCATGACAGAGGACGTGTTTTGTACTGCGCCTACGCCTGTTCCAGACAGCAAACCAAATGGCTCTGGGGTCCCGTGCTTTCAGATAAGTAGAGGGGTTCAAGACTGGTGTTGATGACGCCAAAACTCAAACATGGCCGGCGTTGCGAGAGCGAATGCCAATGGGATCGAGAATCTGAGATGAAGGAGGGATGAAGCCATTTTGGCTCTGAGCTTGCATGCAAGGGGGCTTTTCACACATCAAACCGCGAGTTCTCTAAGATCTGTCTCCTTAGGTAATATTTACAAGTTTGGTGTGTGATACATGCGTGCCCATGCACTACTTCTTTTCGACACCGGTCTGCATGAACATCGTGAAGACTAGAATTGGGTGCATGTTGAAGTTGCCCTTTAGACAACCTCGCCTGTGAGCATAGTTCTCAGCCATGCGAGAGGGACAAAAACCCCTAAACCCTAAACCCCTAAACCCTAAAATCCTAAAAATCCTATACCGTAAACCCCTAAGCCCCGAAACCCGGAAAAGCCCAAGAAGCGAGGAGGAAGCCGAAACCCTAAAATCCTACAATCCTACCCCCCCAAACCCGAAAGTCCTAAACCCAGCTAAACCCTACAATCCTAAATCCTAAACCAGTATAAACCCTAACATGCCCAAAAAGAGAATGGCGAAGTCTCTCAAATCCTAAATCCTAAACCCTACAATGCCCAAATATCCTAGCCCAGACCCCCAAGAGGATCTAAAAAATAGATCCCCTAATTAGGGACCCTAACTACTAAAGGGTACTTTATAGGAACCCCCTTAGGGGATCTATTTTTTAGATCCTTTTGTGTGTCTGGGCCCTAAACCCTAAACCCTAAAATGCCCAAAACTTAAAATGCACCAAAATGCTTAGGAAGAAGCCGGCCTCTCCTTCCGACTGATGTCCTCAGCCCTGGGCGTTGACCTGCAGGTCCACATGGGTAGCTCTCTAAATGAGGGCTTAGGGTTTTAGGGTTTATAGGGGTTTTGGGTTTAGGGGTTTAGGGTTCAGGGGTTTAGGATTTAGGGTTTAGGGATCGCCACGAGTGCGATGTGCTACGGGGGACATTGGCCGGGCGAGCTACAATCAAGCCTGTGTCAAAAAGGGTTTAGGGATTTAGGGTTTAGTGCTCTACCAGAGGTGCAGCTCTGCGCCTGCTTAGTTTCTGTTGCGCAGGGGTTGTTTACTTTTGTTTGTACATCCTTCGCCCCCCTGTGTTTAGGGGTTTCGAATTTCGGGGTTTAGGGTTTAGGTGCTCAGGGTTTAAAAGGGTAGTTCTCTAAATTAGGGTACCGAAATAATGGCTATAAATGCATGAAAACATAAATAATCTATGATAAATATGATGCGGCTCTATAATTGTAATCTTTCTTAGGTCCCCAATATAGTACGACACCCTTGTAAATAGGACCCTGAAAGGCAGCCTAAAAAAGAGGACTACGCGCATGGTTTTGGGCTTCAAGGGTTTCGGGCGGCTTTGGCCTTTGAGGGCTTTTAGGGCTTTGGGCTTCAAGGGTGTCGGGTTTTGGGCTTTAAGGGTTTAGGATTTGGGGGTTAGAGGGGCCTTCGGTGTTGGGATGTTTTCGGGTCTAAACCCTAAGCCCTAAGCCCCGAAGCCACAAACCCTAAACACCTAATACATCCCGAAACCCTAAACCCCTAAGCCCTAAACCCTCGCCTTCCACCCCTAACCCTAAACCCCAGCCTTCCACCCTAGAGGGCCTTTTGAGGCAGCGGCCATCGCGTTTCCACTGCAGGTGGCCGGCTTTCACGACAAGATGCCGGTGCTTCTGGAGGCTCGCGAAAGCCTAAGTTTCTTTAGGGGCTTCAAAACGGGCTTGCATAAAGTTACGAGGGAGGTCAGGGGTTAGGGTGCTGAATAGTTGCGATTTAGGGTTTCAGCAAAAAGGGTGTTAGTCTGCTCTAAGCCTTTGGCCTTAATGCAAGTATATCACTAAATCCCAAAAGTCCTCAATCCGAATACTTGATCATACGCATAGTCGACTGGATCGAGGAGCACGTAGCTGCTAGGTCCACCGAGGGCCCGTGTACGACCTCCTCCTCGTACTGGCACAGGGGCCCATTCTGCCGGTCGTTTCACCGGAATTTAGACAGTTTTTTGGGAGGCACCACGAATAGCGGCTCGACTATCCAACACACAAGACAAGACAAGACATACACATAGTGAAGAAGGCCCAGCTGCAGTCTCTCACGGGGTAGTAAAAGACGCCCACCACAAAGCTGACTCGCGGAGGCCATTGTTCGGAAGATGGCGGAGGCTTCTCGTCTTGATATCCGAAGCCGGCCGAGAATATTTCCTTGAACCTCAGCCTAGAGGGCCAAAATCCAGAGCCCCATGATAGGGTCATGCCCTGTGAGTCTGCAAGCTCCAGCTGGTGGCGAGGCATAATTAGCAAAAAAACCTTTGTGCCCTATAACTATAAATATCTAGAATATAGATCCTGCGCCCCCAAAGCCCCAAAGCCAAAGATGCGCGATCCTCTAAATCCTCAGCCCCGAGCCGGTTCATGCACAATTCCACTGCACGCCCCGACACTGGGTTCTTGTTGGATACAATGTTACATTTTGTTATAATGAAACCCAATAAGGATTGAACAGAGCAGTTTTAATATAGCCCCAACAGGGAGCCAGGACAACATCGCCAAGATCCGGCTCAAGGCTTCAGGTTTAGGGATTGGGGTTTGGGGTTTGCCGACTTCCGAAGCCCGGATGCCAAAAAAGGTCTCGAGATTCAAATCATGGTTCTTCCACATGTCAACCTCATCGCACGATCCTCCTCTAGGCTCCTTCGCCCACACGAGCCCCGAAACCCCAGACAGTATACCCAACAACAACCTCAAGCCGCACCTCACCCCCCCCCCCCATAAACTAAATGAACTGGTAGTTCAGTTCATGGAGTCGGTGACATGTCAGTGCTTTCGCAGACTAGAACCCTTAGATCACCCCAAGGCTTGAACTTTTCTTCCTCGTAGCTGGACAAGTAAGACGAACCCTAAACCCTAAACCCTAATCGACTTCGAGGCCAAAATCTCCGAGCAGTCCTTCGCAGTGGTCAAAGATCGCTTTCTTCGCTTCTACCGCTCCGTGGCCGAGGAATTGAAGGTGGATTTCTCGTCACGTGGGTGGGCAGGGAGCAATAGCGCCGATAGCGTTGTTACGTTGTTTTGCAGAGCCGCACCTCATGATGATGATGATGATGATGATGATGTGAGGAATTCCATGATGATGGCCATGGTGAGGTTCGTGCTGAAAATGATGATGGCGATGAAGTTCATGTTGGAGATAATCTGGATGCTGATGATGACGATGCTGCTTTACATGATGGACCTGCTCAACGACGCAGTAATAGCATTAGTGGTGCCATAGTGGTAGTAGTGCTGGTAGTGGAATGTGTCCGTTTGACCCTGTTCGTCCGCGTGGCTGCCGATCCACGGCCCGCTTCGTTTCGCACGAACTGCTGGCCTCTCAGAGGTGGTCGTATGTTTGTGGTAGTCGTAGCCGAATGCGCCTTAGGGGCAGGAGCAACGACATTGTAGATGACGGCGAGAGTCCAGAGTCCTAAACCCTAAACCCGAGGACGCCGACTGTCGAACGTGGATCCTCGCCTGGCTTGTCCGAGTTGTGAGAGTGTAAACCCGAATCCTCGCTGACCCGAGGCAATCAGGCCGGCAAGCAGAAGCCCACAGCATTTGCCCTGAGAAAGTATCGGGAGCTCTTGGACGAGCCGCTTGGAGGTCAACTGCTCGGAGGCTTTGCGGACCTGGGTGGTTGTCAAAATTATGGTCCCTTTTTGGGTCCTTATTATAATACGGCACCTATTATTTAGGGAACCCCAAAAGGGACCATACTTTTGACAACTGCCCACCTATAGGTTAACATCGTGCGTTATTTTCAATTACAAGGGATGCGAGGATGAAGGCAGTCAGTGGCATTCAGTTTTTTCATGGCCCTTGGGCCAGTTTTCACCCTGATCCCCGAAGCTGGCAGCGGGCGCCAGAACCCGCAACTCTCAACCCCAAGTCGGTGATGCGACCACCCATGGGCCCCATAGTAGTTCCTTTTTGTGGCTTATATTTAGGATCCTATTAGGTAATCCCAAAAAGGAACTACTATGGGGCCCATGACCAGGTTCAGCTTCACGCCAGAAGAAAGGCTCCAGGACCTAGAGAAGCTCAGCCTCTCGGATGGCAAAAAGCAAGTGTTGGCTGTGCGACACAATCGTGTCGGGTTTAG